TTAGGTTCTGCTTTAGCAAAGTGCATTAATCTCTCAAATTTGACACTTTAACTTTCGTAAAAACAGTTTATTTGTTTTGGATTGTGATATTCTTAATTATAAAACCTAATTAAAAACAATAAAGCTCTTTTTTCTTTTTCTTTTTATTATGCTTGCTTTTTTTTGTTCTTTCTTTCTTTGTTAATTTAGCTCATTATTTTATTTTCAACTTTTGCTTTTATTGTTAATTAATCCTATAATTTCATATTTTTTCTTCATTTTTTCCTTCTAATTAACTATTTAATGATATATTTTTTCTTCAATATTTAAAAAGGTCAAATTAAATTGGTGATGAAGGTGCATCAGGCTTAGGTTCTGCTTTAGCAAAGTGCATTAATCTCTCAAATTTGACACTTTAACTTTCGTAAAAACAGTTTATTTGTTTTGGATTGTGATATTCTTAATTATAAAACCTAATTAAAAACAATAAAGCTCTTTTTTCTTTTTCTTTTTATTGTGCTTGCTTTTTTTTGTTCTTTCTTTCTTTCTTTGTTAATTTAGCTCATCATTTTATTTTCAACTTTTGCTTTTGTTGTTAATTAATCTTTTTATTTCATATTTTTTCTTCATTTTTTCCTTCTAATTAACTATTTAATGATATATTTTTTCTTCAATATTTAAAAAGGTGGAATTAAATTGGTGATGAAGGTGCATCAGGCTTAGGTTCTGCTTTAGCAAAGTGCATTAATCTCTCAAATTTGACACTTGACCTTTTGTAAAAACAGTTTATTTGTTTTGGATTGTGATATTCTTAATTATAAAACCTAATTAAAAACAATAAAGCTCTTTTTTCTTTTTCTTTTTATTGTGCTTGCTTTTTTTTGTTCTTTCTTTATTTGTTAATTTATCTCATCATTTTATTTTCAATTTTTGCTTTTATTGTTAATTAATCTGATTATTTCATATTTTTTCTTCATTTTTTCCTTCTAATTAACTATTTAATGATATATTTTTTCTTCAATATTTAAAAAGTAAAAATTAAATTCGTGATGAAGGTGCATCAGGCTTAGGTTCTGCTTTAGCAAAGTGCATTAAACTCTCAAATTTGAGACTTGAGCTTTTGTAAAAACAGTTTATTTGTTTTGGATTGTTATATTTTTAATTATAAAAACTAATTAAAAACAATAAAGCTCTTTTTTCTTTTTCTTTTTATTATGCTTGCTTTATTTTGTTCTTTATTTCTTTGTTAATTTAGCTCATCATTTTATTTTCAACTTTTGCTTTTATTGTTAATTAATTTTTATTCATATTTTTCTTCATTTTTCCTTCTAATTACCTATTTAATGATATATTTTTTCTTCAATATTTAAAAAGTTTAAGTAAAAAAGTTTACATTTAGATTGTGATATTTTTAAAAAAATTAAAAACAATAAAACTCTTTGAATTTATTTGATAGCTTTTATATAATTTATTTTTTTATCTTTTTCATACCACTAACGCTATTTTATTAATTAATTTAACAAATATTTTTTAATTTAAAAGTTTCGATATATATTAAAAATTTATACAAATTTATTATAAAATTTTTAGTTGTTTGAATGAATCATCAAAACTCAAAATAATAAGCAAGTGTCTTAAATCAAAAAGATTAGTTGTCTTTAAAAATCCATATTGATAAACAAGTGACGAAAAAAGGATGAATAAATATTAAATGTTTGAATAATATTATATTTTATATTGAAAAAGTTTTTTTTAACCTAAAATATAAACAGATAGATTTATAGATTTTATAATTGATTTTATATTTAGTAATATCATTCATATTTTTATAAGTAAATAATTTATTTATAAAAAATAAAAAAATAAAAAATTTAATTTACTTAAATAAATTAATTTCTCTAAGCAACCGTATGGTTTCTCAAAAAACGATCAAACAATTTGAATCTTTTAGTTTTATTTTATTTCTTAATAAATTTTATAAATACCAAGCTTTTATATTCCTATTTTTTTTAATTTGAAATATTATCCATCATTCATATTTCCATACTTTTTTTATTTATCAAGATTGAAAAGATACCATAATTTATATAAAACCTCAGGAAGAAATGAAATTTTACTTTTTATTTTAACTATTGTGGTTAAGGGCAGCAAAGTAGCCCTCCAAAACGGTAGGAAAGTTCCCTTATTAATGAAGATTTAGAGTATTTAGAAAAATTTTATTAATTTTTAATAACTATTATTAAAGTTTACAAATAAATATTTTTTTGATGTTTACAGAAAAATTTATGACTTTTAAATAATTAAAATTTAAACTCAAATTAAATGTTTTTTTATTGAAAAGATATTAATTAAAATTAAATTATTTTTTATTTTAATACATTAATAATCTTTAAATAATTTTTGATCTTTATTAAGAAAAAGTTTTTTCATCAGTTATGATCTAAAATTGCATCTGATATTTCACATTTTTAACTAAAAATAATTAAAATATTTTATATTCTAAAAAAACTAAAGAGAAATATTATTTATTTATTTATTATCCATTTATTTTTAATTTTTCATAGAAATCCTTCTTGCTATTTAATCATACAATATAAAAAAATTTTAAATACTTAAATAGATCAATTTTATTTTAAAAATATACAATTTTTATTTTACAATTGCTTAAGATATTCATTATTCAAAAATAAATTGTTTAATAATAAATAATGCAATGTACATACAATTTTTTTTAATTTAAATGTGATTATTTTTGCTTATTTCAAATTTATAATTTTGGTAGCTGATAGGTTTAACGACTTCATTACAATAGATGTTAATTAAAAAAAGAAAATATGTTATTTATATGATAGTTAACAAGCAAATAAATCATAACTAACTAAATAAGCAACTTTTTATTTTTAAACAATTTTAATCAAACAAATTATAGTTAATTTCAACAATTTATTTTAGAAATAATGAAATGGAATAAAATAATGCCTTTAGATAGAAATATATATTTGTTAATTAATTTATACATTTTGAATGAATTGGATGCTATTTATTTTTACAAATAAAGGCAATAGTTAAGTAAAAAAAGAATAGCAAACAATTAATTTTAAATCAATAAGTAATCAAAATTAGGTGATAAGACTCTTTTTTATTCTCCCATTTTCTTAAATAGCCCATTAAAATGAAATCAATTTAGTTCACTAACAAAATTAAATCTTATTATATTAAAGATCTGTATTAATTAATCAAGAAAAGCTAAAGGAATGACCATTTCTGGATATTAGCTTTTATTTTTCATTAAATTGTGCTAATTTAGCTGTAAGTAGATCAACAAACATATAAAGAATTAGCATCTGATAAAAGAATATATTCATAATTTGCTACTTATTTCTTCTTTTTAAATGGTTTCTTAAATAGCCAATAAAACAAAATATCAGAACTTGTTGAAATATTTTTTGCAATTAACTGTTTTATAATTACATTTTTGATATTTTCTGCTTTCATCTTAAGTAGAATTAAAAAAGAGTTCATCTGTATTATATCCCAAATAATGTAAAGCTACTAATATTTGATTGCAATACCATCGATATATATTTCTATCCAAAGTTAACAGTAAGTGTCATCTTTTATAAATATAATTCTTACTTTCGCCATCGGTAATATTAAATATTAAGGATTAAAATAATTTTTTTAAAAAAAAATTAACCAGGAACGTTGATAGTATCTCTAGATTATGACTATTCATTTGCTAATAAAGATATTCTATAAAAGAAAGACTCTAACTTCAATATGATGGAATTTTAATTAGACTTAATCCTATGTATTAGTAATAATTATTTCGATATTTATATAATTGTGGCTTTATCATTCATGCTTAACTCTATTAAATTAATAATAATTTTGAAAAGCCATAATTATATGAATAAGAATATATGCAAATGGTAGATCATTTTAGCTACTTATAAATTCTTCTTCCCGATTTCGCTTATTGCATATTCTTTAAATAAATCTTAAAAAGACATATTGCTATTCATAATTATAATTTTAATTCCTTTATCATTTAAGATAGGAAATACTCTTGTAGCCCAGTGGTATAATTACATTAATATTGAATGTATTTCAAATAAAACTTAAATGTAGAACTAAAGTGCATTTAAATTTATATTGAATGACAATATTTAATTAATTGATATTTTTTGCAGATAATTAATAAACAACACATAATAAAAATTAACTTTTTCTAATTAGGAAGCTTCTACTACTCTATTTTCTTCTTATATTATTTACTAAGAAAATTAATCATTCAAAGGACAAATAAACCCTTAAGATCCTTCCTCATCTATGTCTAAGGTAAACTTAAATAATATAAAATTTTATTCTTTTTTCATAAAAAATATTTTTAAAAATAAAATAAAAAAAAATAAAATAATTTTAAATTAAATTAAAAGATAGGTCAATTTGGTGAATAATATAAAGATGATGAAAAAAGTGAAAAAGAAAATTTTTAAATTACGTTTAATTTAAAAGCAGTTAGTAATATAATGAAAATATATTAAAACGCGATCGAATAAAAAGGAAATAAATTAAATTTGGATACTCTAAATTTTTCTTATTTAACTTTAGTGTCAACTGTTTATTAAAATTAGTGTCTTTCCCTTTTGAAAATATTAAATACAAGCTAAAATACAAGCATTCACTTAAGTTGGAAAGATTAGTAAAAGATTGAAACTATAATGAGAAGCGCAAAAGATTAAATTGAAATTAATAAGAAAAGATCCAAAAAAGATCATAATGAATTTCAGATTTACAAAATTTTAGAATAAGATTAAAAAATAAAAGAATTATAGCGAAAGTATTTTGAGTGTTTAAAATAATATTAAATAATAATTCAAAAATTATCAATGAATTTTATTGATATTAATGACATCTATATTCTTACTAGTTAATATAGAGAACAAAGAGGTTAATTAAAAAATGAAATGATCATCTAAATAGAAAACAATTATAATAATAATATTCTTAAAAGTCTATGTGTTAAATTTGATCTTTATTTGCTTCATAAGTAATCTCTGTCTTTGTAATATAAGACTATGAATAGACAAAAAGATATTTAATAAAAACACACTTAATTTTAGAGAGAAGAATCTTGCCTTGCATTTGTTTCTCTTCTTGAAAATTAATTTGGGATTGTTAAAAATGCTAATAAATAATTTATGAAAATCATGGGATTCACAAATAAGTCATAAATAATTGGTTAAACTATATTATCATTATTTCCATAAAATATCATATAAAAAAGATTATATACCAAGACTATTTCACATATTACTGAAAAGTATTTTCCAATATACAATGAAATCATTTAAATACCTCTATTTATAGCAAGAAGTTAACATGGATATTCTTAGCCATTATAAGTTAAATTTCAAAGCCAAATAGTAAATTCAGATGATTTTGGATTGACAATTTGTGCAAATCCTATACAAGATGACAAAATTTACATGATTTTGGATTACAAAGACCCCTCTAAAATAAAATTGATGAGTAAAGCTTTCGAATAAGAATTCTTAACAAAAAATGTTAACTCATAGAATTAAAAAATAATAAAAATGGATAATTTTATTCCTATAATTGCAAATCTCATAGAATTAAGTGAAAAAAAGCAAAATAGAAAATTTGAAACTTTACTAATTAAGCATAATATGAGCTCTGAATCACTAATTCAATATAATTTAAGCTCACCTAATTTCTTAAATGCGCTAATGTAGTAACAGTTATATACTGTTACAGTATCTTTTTAAATTTTTAATACTAAATTAGCATCTTTTGCTTACATGATAATTGAAAACTACAAGTATATAGATTGTTTAAGAGATAAGACTCAACACATTTAACAATATTATTCATAAATTAAAGAGTTTTGTGGTATTAATATAAACTTTGATTACTAAGATTAAACTAATTATGATGAGAGATATCAAAAAATTTAGTTAAAAACATCAGAATTGCTTATAGACAGTGAAAGGATGAATCATAGATAAAAAATACAAGAAAATGGTTAAAATGAAAAGAATATTTTTATCTCAAATATTTAAGATATCTCTTCTTATAATATTTAAACTTCGAGGCATCAAGATATGAATACTGCGTTTGAATTACATGATTCTTAATCTAATAGATAATCCTATGATACGTTTTAAAAATATCCAAGTAAAAATCAACAAGGAAGCCTACAAAACTCATAAATTTTAAATTAAGTTTCAGAATAATCACAAATATTTAATTAAAAAATTAATGAATCTATATTTTAATTTCATAATTAAAGCAGAAATGCATCACCTTAAAATAATTTGAACAATAAATATTATGATTTTAGTCAAATAACACAAAAAACTAATAGTCATAACGAGTAAAATAAGTATGAAAATAATTATGAAATAGATGAAATAAAAGACTAATTTATAGAAAATAGTAGCAATAATATATTAAACTTAAGGGCTTAATAAGAAAGTTCATTTGATTTATTTTGTAAAAATTTAACCATACTTTCTCCTAACCAAAGTAAAATTGAACAAGCGTTAAAATAGACTGACCAGTCTTATCAAAATCTTTATTTGAATAATATTCCTGCTTTTTAATCCAAATAATAAGTATCAAATTAATTAACAAAAATGGTAGAAACAATAACTGGAAAATAAAGCAAAACTGTAAATACTCATCATCAAAAGTAAACATAATATAATAAAGAAGTTAATTCTGTTTCTTCTTCGACTAAAAGTGTTCAAGACAAGTAATTTATTAATTAATTTTAAATTTATTTTTAATTTTCTATACCAAGTATTCAATTTGATACACTTAAAGAAATTTCAGACCCTATATATCACATTTTTATAATTATTTTATTAATTTGCTAATTATTTTATGAAATTACAAATTCATGAAGTTGGATAAATCACCCTATATAAATTTTAAAAAAATTAAAAATAAAAAACTTTTTATTAATATATTAAAAGGTATCTATTTGATATGATATATTAAAAAAAGTAAAGC